ACACACTCTGCTACACCCCGTCGCGTCCCTTAACGTCCACCTCTTCGGCATTCGTATGCGTGGGTTCGATGGGTATTGATATATTATTCCCAATAGTTCGTGTTCTTTTTTTTTCTCGCCACTCCCGGTTTTTTTCAATTATAATTCTTTTTCGTATCCAATCAATCATTAGTATTTCCATTGTCCTTCGGTATTTTCATTTGGCGTCGCGCTCCGAGTCGGCCTGGTGCTTCCGTGTGCAAGGCAAACGATAGACGAGAGTCGGACGGTGAAATAGAAGGGTGAAAGCAAGAGAGGAAACGATGGGGATGTAGAGTTGAGTGTGGACCTAGCACAGACCGTTGTGTGTACGTCCCTGTTACTGATGGCGTCGCCACCGATTCGTTAATGCGATTGAATATTAATTTTCACTTTGTCCCGAAGCCCCCGTGTTGTCGTCGCCTCTACGCTTTTCCGAGCTTTTGCAATTCCGAGGTGGTGCGATCTCCATCCGACTCTTCTAGAATGTATCCAATACTCATTCACGATTATATCGATGACCGGGGGAGATTGTCGCGACGCTTTTATCGTATGTTCATCGACTAATCATTTCTTCTCTTCTCTTTATGCCTGCGATAAACCTCGCAAGCTTTTCCTTCTCTAATTGTCCATATAATTTCATTACTCCCCCGTAAAATATTAAACATTTTTTTCCAGCACAAAGGGCAATTCCCTGATACTTCTGTAATTTATGTATTTTCATTGAAGCTACTGTAAATTTATCCCTCAAGTCTATGATATTTTTAATTGTTCAATAAATTTATTTTTAAAAAATAGTAGTCAAGAATTGCAAGTTTAATATTTTTGCAATAAAAAGAAAGGGTTATAAAGTGTAAAAATATCGACAACTCAGCTACACAGATACATTTAATAAAACATGCTCTCGCTCTTCTGCTTTCTGAACTGTTTACTCATTCTGCAAACTTAGTTTCTGTTCTTTCTCTATCTTTATCTACCGTTGTGATCGCGCTTTAGCACCTCTTTCCTGTCCTCGTCACACATACTGAAGTCTTCATTTCCTAACGTGGTGATCTCACTTCTTCAGGAAATCCTACCAACTGCGCACGCGCGCTGAATTTATTCTTTCTTCCTTCAAATCTCTGTCTTTCTCTTGATCATTTCACTCCATACTCTACCTCAAAGCCACCCTCGGTCTCAACCGCGAACCACTCTAGAAGTTTCAAACTACTCACGGGACAACTAGATAAATGTCTTTCGTATTTCTCGCTCGTTTGATACAATCGATCTCGATTAACCGGCAACTTTTTCTGATTGTTCTTGAATTGATGTCAACTTGATGTTTTTAGTGTTTTACAAAATTGATCGAAAAGTGATAAAAAAGAAGGTAAAAGATTTTTGTATTTTTTTTAATACTTTAGTCTTGATTTTTAAGTATTTGAAATTACCTTATTATTATTGATCAAAGATCAAAAAATACTAATACTTATTGAGTAAGATCTTACCAAAAAAATCCTCAGGTCCTAGTACAGGACTTTTTTAGTATTGTTAATTAATTCTTTTGGGTCTGCATAAATAATATGACCAAAATTAAAATTTTATTGGCATTCATTTCAGGTACTGAGGTGAAAAAAAAACATGGAAGTATTTGAGAGAGAATGAGTTTGAATAAATGAAATATTATTCTTTTCCACTGCTCCTCTTGTTGCTATTTGTATTGAAATGAACTTTGAAAGTGGCAAAAATGATCTAGAAAGAGTTAAACAGGTACCCATATTTTGAGTCGGGTAATGATAATCAGTCAAGTGAAATAAAGAATATGAAATACAGAAAGTGAAATAAAAATACTTGATATGTATTTTAATTATCTTTCTGATGGAAAAAAGCAAACTGAATATTCGTACAATAGTGTAGAATAAAACATAAAAACAAAAATAGCCAAATTCGTTGAGTCTTTCGATTTTTCACGTTCACTTGCCGATACCAATTTGCCTGGCGAATAAAAGCGTAAAAAGCGGTACCGGGGTCCAGTCGATCGGACGCCGACGTTATTTCCCCTCACGTGTATTAAACAATGCGACTTTTTCTCCGCGGAAGCTGCTGCGTTTGCTTCGGGAAAATGACGTACGACAGGTAAATACACACAGGAGCACACAGAAAAAAATGAGAGAATTCTATATTCATCTGTATAGATATATACTCAAATACATGTAGATTGCAGCAGATCTGCATACGCCGATGGGCGTGGACAAACGATATAGGAAAAAAATGGCGGAGTTTGAAAATGAGATTTGCTGGTAAACCGACAATTTATCGTAGGGTATCTATCCCTTGACATTTCTCTGACCAGATTTATAATTAATGTGTTCTTGTCATAGAGACTGAGAGCAATATTCTCGTCCCTGGCTGCTTTTTAGCTTGGAGATATCGCTCGTGCAAGCATCATTGCTGCTCTCATATGGTGACATTCGACCAACGTAACTGGTTACTGATTAACTTTGAATGACTGACACCGCAAAAACACATTAAAACTCGAATGAGTACGAATGAAAATTTGGTTGTTGGGAATCAGGAGACCACAGAGTAAATAGCTTACCAGCCACACGTCCATCGGGTTTATCTCTTTTACTATTGGAAGCCTATCGGAATATCACAATGCAGAAAAATATACTGACGACAAGCGAAACTGGTTGATGGTTCGCGGTTATACTGTTGGTTTCAGTTTATCATCACAGAAAATTTTTGCTGACCTTACACTGTTCGTCAATCATTGATTCGTCGCTCAACTTAATTCTTCTTTCAATATTTAAGTTTTTTTTATCCTTATTTTTTTTCTCACAGACAATTTTTTTAATCAATTCAACCCCATATCTAAACTCATTCACTTTGCTTCTTCAAGAAATTTTCAACATATAATTCATTGAAATTAAGCAAACTAAATATTGATTATGCATTGCGATTCATGCTGATATGTTCACTTCAAGTCTATCCTTTTTTATGTTATTAAATACAATAATAATAATACTTATGTTTAATAAAAAAGCTAAGATTTATATTATAGCTGAATGAAAATCTTAATTGACCAGGTCTACGACCAAAAATTGTTGTAGAATTTCTGCTGTCATATTAAATGAGGAATAAAATGCTGAAGAATTTCTTTTATAAGAAGTAAGATGTGGTACCAAGTTACGATAATGTTGAAAGAGATTCACGATAATAGAATTGAAAAAAATGTATATTCTATAAAAGGAAAGATGCGGTCTGTAATTGGACAGATATCCTCGAGGTTGGCAAGACGTTTTTCTAAAAACAGAACCATCCGATTGCGCGTAATAAATACGTCACTTTCAAAAGAAAGACGAAGCAACTGTTTTACCCTTTTGTATATCCATCTCTGAACGTAGGATTGTCCCTCATTCTGATGGTCTCGGGTAGCCACTAACCGCAGAACGATTTCACCAAATTGGGCAAACAAAATGAAGTCCTGTGGAATTCCCTTTACTATCTGAATTGTATATGCTTTCAGTTGTCATAAAACAATTGATTGTTGCTGTATTGCAACGATTATCTTCGTTTTCGTTGTGTAGTCATAAAGATTTCAAATTCAAGATCAATCAAGAATGAATTCGATTCACTACATTACAAGTACTCTGGTTGAATGTGCAGAGAAATGCTTACATGAGAAACTTGAGACGATGGTTTCTCCTTAATAAAAATCGTCAACGTGGTCGTAGCTCACGTACCGATACGGGCGTACACCTCTTTCATAGTAGCCAATGGGATTTCTCCAACAGCTAATATATTCAAATGTAAGCGGTAGCAGTGTTTATGTCTTGACATTGCAAATTGTAGCGGTTGCGCCATAACTTATAGTAATTGCTTCGAGCTATAAGTAATTATTTATATTCTTGATATAGCTAAAGATGAACAGATTTTTGCTTGTCAGTGATATCTACTTTGCTGTACCTTGGCTTGAAAAATTTTCAGTAATTTATTTGTCATTAAAATGAAGAAAGGAGTATCATTTTTCAATGATGTCTTGTATTGAAAGCTCATCGAGACTTTGAATGAGTATTTAGTTAGAATCATTCTCAAACTTGTGGCTCCTTCTGTTGCGCAGCAGACGAAGTCTGACGAAGAACAATTGTATGCAACGATCGATACTCGACACTCTAAATGGTTTATATCTATGTTTTTATTTGTGTATTAAATAAATAATTAAACTATTTATTTGAATGTAAAATCAAATTTCTAGTCGTTTATCAGAACCATTCGACACATAAACTGTCACGTAAATTGATAGAATATATATTTTGTCTGAAGTTCATGAGCTTAGTCGATAAATCAGCTTGTACGTTCAGTTAGTGAATGCCACGGTAGTTTTCTGTGGTGTAACAGGTGGTTGAAATTCTTGTTCTCTGCATCTTTTTATTCCTTTATCGGGTAAAAGAAAAAGAGTAAACTCTGCCGCAAAGTCGGGTATGCTTAACACCTCTTAAAAGAACTACATAAAAGACTTTCTATGATGGGGAAAAAAAAGGAAAAAAATTCTCGATAGAGTAAGTTTAATTTTTCATTTCTTATTTGAACATATTATTTTATCAATTTCTCCTAAACTATTTTACTGCACAATTCAGAGGTCAATCGATAACAGTTCATTTCTTGAACAAAAGTTAAAATAGACATATTTCTATTAATATTGGTTTATTTCTTATTTAAAAAATAATTTCATCCACTTACATTCGTCAACTTATCACAAAACATTTAATACTACATTGGCTTTTAAACTGACCATGAAGATCCTTGCAAAATTGAGGAAGTCTTGAATGTTTATTAACATGAATTATTATATTAAATAGAAAAAAAATATTTACATTAATGTACAATACGCTCTATCAATTATATTCAAAATATTAAAGCTTATATTTTGTTGTATGAAAAATTATACTTTTTTATCAAACTGTATCTTATGTTAGTATTAATTATTTTTAATTATAGCATGCTTTCATTTATAAATAAAACTTTTAAAAAATTCATTGATGTTAAAAATAAGAGTAAATGTTAATACAAAATATTTGTCACACTCATATCACACATATTGCTTAAAAACAATAATAAAAATATATAACTAATTAATTTAATGAATTAAAAACAAATCTATTTTAATTTTTGTGGAAAAAATATCGTACAGGTAAATTGATCTATTTTACTTTGGTGATTTGTTCTATAATAATAATATTATTTTTCACCAAGGTCTCCACATATCTCCATTAGATTGAGATCCTGACGATCCAGAAGGGCATGAAATATGTCCATTAACATTCTGCAAGACGGAATTATTTTTTTGTGATAAATCTTCCACTGACATGGATGAAGAAAATTTTTCGTCTCTTATGCGATGTGTATTTCCATTCACGGTATTGCAAATAGAAGCTGTAGAACTTTGTGCTTCTTGAAGCTTTGGCCTTTTATCTGAGATGACAAGTAAACCATCAGAATGATGTCTTTTTAAATTTTCTCGTTTAGTTGACTGAATTGGAGCTCGATTATATGTTTTATCGGTGATGACAGAGAGTGGTTGACGTATATTTTGACCCTTTGCTCCATTAACAAAGAAATCAGATGATTCTTGATTGATGGATTCTTTCCTCAAAGAATTCCCATTATGTTTTGGATCAGAGAATGCTGAAACTGGTGATTTCCGATCACTTGTAGAACTAATATGAGGTTTTTGTGTTTCAGGAGATGAGAAACTCTTTGATGATGCTGGACTTTGTTCAGGAATTTTGAAACGGTGCTGATAATTGGGCGAATCACTTTGACGAAAATGATCTTGGTGGTGGGAATCTTCTCCAAAGCTAGATGTTGATGTTGAAGGACTTAATAAAGGACTGTGAGATCGTTGCTGTACCGGTGTGAAAGCTGAAGAAGTTCTAACTCGTGATGTTTCAGATGCTGGTGGGAAAAATGGAAAATTGGCTGAAATACCAGCTGATTGTGGCACCAATAATGCTAATTCTCCAGTAGGAAGTCTGCTAGGAATCAATTGTACTCCACTGGGTATTTGTATTCTTGCACTGGCATTGTTATTCTCATCACCACTGTGGAAATCACTTTGAAAGCCGACTTTTACCTCCGGGAATAGTCTTTCTGGCATATAAGGTACAAAGTGACTGTAAAATGGTGCCATCTGCTGAAGGTTATTCACACAATTGTTGAGGTGAGAGACTAGCCGCTGTTTTACCGATGAATCAACGTTCTCCAGATGATTTACATAACGAGACACTTCGTTAGCACATTCAGAGAATCCCGTGCGGAATTTGGTCAAAACTGCTGGATCTGTAGCTACTGCTGTACTCAATTGTTGACGTTGCACAGTTTGCAAGTGTTTAACTGTCATTTCGAGGATGTCTGCCTTTTCGAGCTTCGAATGTCGCGATGGCTGTAGCAACAGAAAAATACTCAAATTAGTGAAACAGTTTTTTGTGATTTAATTAAATATAATTGATTGAATGGTTGGATGACAATGTAATAATTTAAATCAATCATTCTTTTACATTCGAACATATTGTTGGATTTTTTAATCAAGATAGTATCACGAATAAAAAAAAATTTTCACAAAAAGTCTTGTAAATAATAAAAAATAATAATTGAAGCATGCAATAATAATGGAGTAAAAAAAAAAATTTTGTATTTTTCAACTGTTCGTGTAGTTGAAAGCAGAATAAAGTTTGTATTTTTTCACAGAGAGATTTAATAAAAACGGAAATTCGGGAAATATTATTACGTGAGGACATGCAATAATCTCAAAATACAAGTAGTCAAGACAGGTATATAAAAATGTATGAATGAAATCCATCGTGGGAACCCGTTAGTTTTTGAGGGCCCATCTTTTTTTTCAAATTTTTTGACAAAACTGGTCCATCGAATAAAAAACCAGGTTATTCTTTAAATTCCCGAAACCCGAACAGCCCTTTGGCCACCAATAGGCGATTCAGCGGAGGAGCACCTCTCGGAGATTCTATTGTGTTGATCCTCTAGGCTTGCGATCCAAATACCCTGACACAGCTTAGTCGTATTTTTATATATTATATTGGTCTCTCTCGTGGCCACCTTAACAATAGGCGTGGGAGTCGGAGAAGTCTCAGTTACACATGTCGCTGCTGTTAAAGAGTTACTGTGTGGGAATTTGCTTCAGTCTCATTCATAAGTAATATGCTACTGGATATGTATATCACACATTACTCATACATCCACGTAATTCACATGACTTCGCGTGACTTTGGCCTAATTTTTGTCATTTTCTAAAACCGTCAATTAACCCAATATTTCCGGTTCATTTCGAAGAAAGTTAAATTTACGCAACCGCTAAATGTATACCATCAAAGCGATTAAACATGACTAGATTTCTGGAAAATATTTTTAGGTGCTTGCTTCTTTAAAAAAATTATTTTAAGAAAAAAAAAATCAAATTAGAAGATTATGGACACTCGTTGATTTTCAAAGAATTTAATACGTGGTCTTTATTATTTGGAAATAAATCGAGGCTCAAAGTAAGGATCTTTCAAGATGATACAGTCAACAAAAGAAGATTGAAACCTGAGATCACATTTTTTTTTTTTTTAATAATTACGTGAAGGTTCCCACGAAAGCGGGGGGCGTTACGTGCAAACCAAGCGGATAAAAGAATGGACAGACACTGAAGTGAGCAGGTAGCGGAAGTCATCTGGACATTGAGCGACCAAGTAAACTCCTGTGGCGTTTATAGACGCTTAAGAAATCAATTTCAAAGGATTGAATTATGTGCGGACAATCGGACAATATTTTGCTACAACTTTTCTCCACTTTTATCAAAAGATCCATTTGATACAAATCATTTACTTGTCAACTATTTTTTCTCTAAAAATAAAATTCCCACAATGGCAATAAATATACTTTAATTAAAGCTAAAAAATAAAAAAGAATCTATAGATGTCGTATTCCCTTATGTTGGACATAAAGTCACCGGACGTCGGTGAGATAGAAAGACCCTTTTTAACAACCTGATCAAACATTTACGAGGTTTATTTCCGTTATTACTTCCCTCTGTTTTCACTTAACAAACTTATATACTGATTATTCTATTTGTAAAGGCATGTTCGAATGTATAAGTATATATTTAATAAAAGAGATGAATATAATAAAGCAGAATGAATGAAAATAATTAAGTCCAACGATCTTATGACACTTACATCTTTTTTCATCGCTTCTAAAATAAGACTCTTTAACTCTTCAAGACACTGATTTATCCGAGCACGTCTTCTCTTTTCCATAATTGGTTTGTTACTCTGTAATCATTGACATAAGATTAGTGGATGACATATTTAATTTAATCTATGAGTCAATCAATAAATTACAATTAATATCTTTTTTTTATTATTCAATCAACTTTAATTTACTTACCCTTCTTAGCTCTGCCTTGGACATTCCAGATTGAATTTGACTCTCGAATTCTTCTTCACTTCCAGACATTTTTAATTTACAATAATCCACCATTTATTTTGAAAATATTTATTTCTTGATAATAAACACTTTTGTTAAAGAAAAAAAAACTTGACACTAATTTTCACATTAAAAACTGACACTTCACAATAAATATTTGAAATTGTGATTATCAATTAACATTGATAGCAGCATTCAATTATTAATATCCCTTGTAGAACTGTTTGATGATGGAGTTCATCAGCACGACGTTGACACTCACGTGGATAATCTTTAACTGATGGATGCTAAGTGACTCGATTGATGACTGCTTGAGTTGTCTCAAACGAGGAATAGAGTCGAAGGGAAACTGTTTGACGTTTTCGAATTCAAAGACCGCATACCAATGCATCCAAGAGATTGTGAAGTGGGGGTAAATTTTCTTAGGAGAGGGGCGACCTGGTGATCGGCAGGGTGGGGACTTTTACCCTCCTGAGACCTGTTGATGTGTGGGAATTCACACCGCAGCTTATAGGATGCTCCTTAACCATATGACAATCTCACTATTTCAAACAAATCATGTTTATTTTGAAACTTTTGAAAGCAAACTTTTATCAAAGAAACAAAAACAAAGCCATTCTTAATCTCTCTTAAGAACTCGTTTTGGTGGTAAATACGAGAGTGTATAATAAATCCTGGAATTATTTGGAAAATTGGATGAGTAGAGTAATTTTTTTTCAGACGAATTTTGTAAGGAATAATGAGTACAAAGGAGCATTTATGAAGTTGAGAAAATTTGTTAAAATAATAAATGTGGGCAGTCAGATAGATCTGATGATAGAGACAGGATGTCAGCAGCGGTAAAGCGTAAAGACATGCGATATGGTCTTATATAGAGTAGTAGAAATATACATACTATATAATATTTGAAGCCGGTGTGCATTGCGTGTGTAAATGCATGCTTATGCGCACGCCGTAAGTGTGACTGGCGCATGTAACGTGATTAAAGTTCATCCGTTTGTGAAAGATCCGATATCTCGAGATACCTTTGATGGAAAAAATTTGAAAAAAAGTACTAAAACATTTTAAAGCTTTACCTTTGATATTCAACGGTATTTTTCTGTTTTCGATTACATATGTATTTACCAACATCAAACCTTTTTTCTATTTATTGAATCATGTTTTCCAATGAAAAATACTGGAAAAATTTTTTTCGCGATATTTTTCGTTATAAAATACTTGTCATCATATTTAGTCTTACAAAACGCAAACAAAAATTATGAAGATCATAAAAATAAATTTGAAAAAAAAAAAAACTGTAAATTTGTTGTAAAACCATCAGTCTTGAACATAAATATTCGTTCTGTTGACAAAATCAGTTACTGTGTACCTATTTGAAGAGACTTCATGGCGGCCGCAATAAAAAGATAAATTTTTATAACTTACGATTATAATACAAAAAGGCATTTTCTTTCTAAAAGTGTCTTCGAGTTCGTATTTCCGTGTACCTTGTTGGCTTTATTCACAAATTGTCTTCCGTAGCGCGTGTTTTCTATGATTTACAGCCTCCACCATTGAAAGAAAACTTCTTTCATGAATTTACCAGATTTTTTAACGTTGGATAATAATGATATTAATAACAGTTTAGTTACCTTTCTTTTTCATTGCTGGGTAATTATTAATATAGCATTAATGGGGACTTTATTTCATATATTTCGTAGTAAAAAGACCGGATTTTGGCCAGGTACACTGACTTTTTTGATTGTGAAAGCGTGGATCCGCACGGAAAACACCCCAAAAGAACTCAACTCCTCTAATTGTAATTTAGTATAATAAATGCTATAATCTAAGAAGAAGTTAATAAATTATTCTATTAGTTCCTCATCAAATAGAATCATTGACATTTACAAAAATAATAGGAATTTTTAGATTTGAGTGCAGCCAGTTGAAAAAATATAAATAAAAAGAAATGAATTGTAAAAAAATGGATGTAAAATACTTTCAACATTTTTGTGTTTATGAATAAAAATTTGCAGCTGTAAGTCGCATTTTAAAGGCTCTTAAAATATTCCACAGCTTAAATATAGTTTTATCGTTTATAATCTAATTAAATCCATTGCAAACAAAAGGTTTTATCAATATATCTTCCAGCATTTCATCTAGACCAGATGTATTTGAATCAAACACGTGTGCAATTTTGATTATATTTTTATTCGATAGTTGATAAAAAAAAAGGATTATAATAACGATAATAATAAAGGCCAGAAACTCACACTTGAAATTAAAATCTCAATGGTCATGAAGAGCTTTTAGAATACTCTACTCCCCCCTGAACCTTGGATATTTCTGGTCAGTTTTTGGGCTTCGAAACGTAAACACTCGACTATTGGAAGTGATGGCAAGTTAGCATTCAGGCAAAAGGATATTACCGTCATAACTACATAGTTTATGGTTTTATTTAGGGTACAGCGTACAATAAACTTATAATGGATTGCGCTAAACTGCACTTTTGTCCCTGAAACTGGTATATTATTGCGTCTACGGATAGACTTGTCCTGGCTCTTATTTTTTTCTTCCATTTCACTATTTACTTTTTAATTTGTATCTAAAAATCCTTAAAAAATTGACTCCAAATTTTTTGGAGTAATTTTTTCTAAATAAATAAAAATAATTATTTATAATATTTTAATAGTTACAATAACTTCATAATAATTTTAATACTTTAATAATAATATTAATCATTAACAATTTATTATAATAATATTAAAAATAAAATTTTTTAAAATATAAATAAAGAATAAAAAGCTAAGTTAAAGTTCAGATCATGAAAAATGTAATAAATGTATTTAGTTTTATATTTAACAATGAGCTGTTTTCAAAATGATTATTTTCCATAAATATTGTTGAACTGTCATAACGGAAGACTTTTGGTCATATGTCACGACCTTCTCATTAACCCGAAGTGAGAAGAGATTGCAATAAGAGAGCCCTTGAAGAGTTTGCTTGACCACAAAGCATCTTGAGAAGGATCAAGAAGTTGAAATGCGAAGATCATGGAGAAAGGATAAATAGGCGGAAAGTTTAAGTAGACTGGCTTCTAATATAAATTTCGAATGTTCATCTCTACGCTTTTATCTCTCTCAGCATTTTACCGAACCATAATTTCGAAAAACCTCGAAAGATGCACCTGCATCAAACGCCCACGCTTTTCACAATACTTCACAGTCCTGGGATCCTTTAAATTTTTTTTTCGTCAGGAAGGAAACGCTTGCCTGCTGAATTTCAAACCTCTACTTCCGCACTTTTTTATTCTTCCTCCTCCTCCTCTCAACACTAGTTTATTCATTTCCCATGTGACTGCATATTATTATACACCATTCTTTATAATCGCTACTACATTTAGTGGGTGTGAAATGAATTTGAAAAAAAAATTATTAAAATAAATGTTTTCCTATTTTTTTTTCTCAACATTTCAAATATTTATTACCCTATAAATGATCAAAATGGAGATATAATAATCATTCAGAAGTCAATAAAATCGTAGGAGTGGAACAAATTTCAAAAAAAAATTTCACATGATGTATCTTTTACTTCTTTCTTTTCTATGCTTCAATCAAGAGCGTGTGACATCAGGGATTTCCGTTCAACAAATAAAAGGATTTCTTGACATAATTCAAATAATAGTGATCCTTTTTATTATTTATCTATATGTTATTGTATTATTAAATAAAAATAAGAATATTACTTTGAAGGCTCATGACTCATTGAGCAATGAAGACCCCCTGATCATACAACCGAGACTTCCTGTTTAGCTATGATAGAAAATGGGCCAGGATCATCTGAACACATATGACTGGGAATGAGGTCGTGTGCTGGACAAAACCTATACACTCAATATTACCTGCAAGCCAATGCTAAGTTTCAATATTTTTTTATAACTGAATTTTCATTGCTTTATCAATTGACACGTTTTCAGAATAAATCATATTTTTCTCTGCTTTTTAGGTTTGAGTTTTATTTGTACATGAAATTGATGAGGAAACAGGGTAAATTTCCCTCATCACATACGTACGCATGGCGATAAAAGTCTCCAAGAGCCACCCTACTGATGTGATCCCCTTCCGGAATCTACTTTTCCTTCCTTCCTCTTGCAAAGTTGCAGAGCAGCAAAGAATCACCTGGCAAAGATTCCCACGTTTCTGCGATTCGTCCTGGCATACCCTTTGGCTTATACTGCAGCAGTCTCGATCGTAGTTGATGGCCGCGTTATAATATAATGGCAGTGCTTGCGTATGTGAAATAAGAAAACGAAAACGAGCCAGCCTCGTGCATCTATTATGACCTGACCGCTGGAAAGAGTGCGCGTGGCTGACACACGAGTGAGGGACTTGCGGTCTTTGCTATATAAAACTCTGCTAGCCTTTCGTCGTTTTATTATTATTATTGAGAAAGCAGAAAAAAAAGAATTAAAATGCTGAGTCAAGATAAACTACTCAGGTATTTACATTGAACTAAAACTTTTTCAAGAGTTTTCTCATCATAACTAAATCTCTCTCCTTTGGTCTAGGACTGTGTCTGATATTTACTACTACTATCCGCCACATCGTGGGAGGTTCTGTGAAGAAGAAGTCTGTGGGAACTTTTCTGGATCTTCGGGTTACACCCAATTCTTTCAAAAAATTCAATAGAAAAATTGGAAAATATTAAAAGCTTTTTGGAAATTAGACTAGAAAAGAGTGGACAAAAAAATTTTCTAGCAAAATAAACATGAATACAGTAAATGGCCTTTTAATTCTACTTTAGACATTTGTTTACTGAATTGGAAAAATAAATATTAGTTATTATTTCAATATTTTCAGTGACATTTTGACAATAATCGTAATAACTCATTCGCAAAAGTTAAAACACTGTCGAATTTTGTGTATTTTCTATTGAAAGATAATGACAGTATTTTATTAAAATTTATTAGTTTGATCAATGTGATTATTATACATAAATAGTAGTGGAAACAAATAAATTATAAATTAGAAACAATTATTCATAAATTTAAAAAAATAAAATAAATCAATAATAAATATGAATAAATAAAATAAATTAATAATGAATAAATAAATGTAATAAATAAAAATAAAATGTAAATTTAAAAAAATGAAAAATAATGTAAGGAATAGTCTAGACAGTCCTATTATCGATTCGGAAATCAAATATTTTCATCATGTTACATGGTAGTAGTCCATAACTATTCGTTTCATAGGGGGTAAAAAAGCTGTCTGCAGGCCCGTAAAAATCATTTGGCGGCTGATCTTTTAAGAAACACGATCTGTTTAGTCTCCACTAGTCCAGAGCAGCCCGAATGTCGTTGGGTCCGTGGGATAGGCCGTGCGGTT